ATTTTGAAGATATGTGGCTTTTGAGGTCCCCTTCTTTTAAAGGCTTTGATTATATGAAGCTGAACTCAGTCTATATTTCGTATTTTTCACTTCAAAAAAATCTTTTTTCCCATTGACTTAACATGGGCACCAAATTTAGCGATTTTTGAGTTTTTAAAACGCCATTACTTCCGAACCGGAAGTCGGATCGAAATTTGGTTTGCAGATTCGGATTCCTGACATAATTCTACCCCTATTTCATAACTCATACATTGAATTTGGAGCACGTTTTGGTGTGACCTACTTTCTGGACGCCATATCTAAAAATCGGTAAGAGTTATCAAAAAACGGATGGCACATTTATGAAAGGGCTGTTTCTTGGCTACATGATGAAAAAAAGAAAAAGATGTTTCGATAAATAATGACGAAAATAATTGATAGAATATTGAAAATGTAAGATTTGACCTAGTTCTTGACCTTTGACCTATATAAAAAATTGACCCAATTTCCGAGAAACTAGATACTGAACCTAACTTGACTGTATAAAGGACTTGACTCAATGTCTTCTAGTTACTGAGAAAACGTGGGTAGAAGAATAAAAAGAATAAGAATAAGAATAAAGAAGAATACTGGCAAAAACAATAGACTCCAGATTGACATCTGGAGTCTAATAATTATAGTGAGGAAGCACAAAGGGCAACATTTGAAAACAAATAAAATATTACAAGTCAGAGTGTTGATCCTTATATTTCATTGAGATTGATAATGTGTCAGAAAGGAATATTGAGTTTATTAATTTACACCAGAGTGAGGAGGAACAAGGGGCAACATTGAAAAACAAATTAAGAAAAAAATTAATTACAATCAATTATGTATTGATCTGCTTTATTGAGATCAATTGCTCATATACAGTTTGATATTAGTGACAGGAAAATACTGATTTTATCTTATGGTTAAATGTTTTCAAAAAAAGTTCAAAAATCTGCATAATTTATCTGAAAAAATAAAAATAAAGTTTTCTAACAACACATTTTTTTCTTATTGTTTATATAAAGAGAGGGTCTAAATTTCAAAATTTTCGGGGGGTGGCATGCCCCCAGACCCCCCTAGTTTGCGCCGCACTGCTATTTGGTCATTATCCATTGATTTGGTTTATGTTTATGTTTCACCCAACCTTTTGGCCTAAGCTGATTTTCAGTCTCTAAGACATGAAGTCTCATTGCAGCACATTTATTTTTGTACTTTAGATTTTCTGAAAATGACGCTTTATCATAATTCAATTTGACCCACATTTTCCAAGTTTGACCCACTTTTTTGATTGAGCTGGGTCATGTGACCCACAAAATGTTGAGGCTACCGCCAGTTTTTTGATTGAGCTGGGTCATGTGACCCACAAAATGTTGAGGCTACCGCCAGTGCTGCTCAATATAACAACTTGTGTGATGAGAAACAAAAACATGTATTATTTATTTGATCCTCATTTTTGGGATTTTCAATAAAGAAATAAAATTCCATCCCTTATGTTCACACGTTTCTCTGGGTTGGGAATCAAGGTGCATAATATTGAATAACGCTGAGGACGAAATAAATCTACCTCTGAAGATGGTTTCAATATCAACATTAGTACAGAATCTCTACATTTATTCACCATGAGTGG